TAAACACACTAATTGATCGACATTATTCAAAAATTTATTTCGAAACACATGAAACAATAATGGCTGCTAGGACCTTTTAGAAAGGTTTCACTAAGCAGACAACTGCACCGTCGAGTGACCCTTCCGGAATCCTAATTGTTCGTCTTGAATGAAGCGTATTTCCTCCGTTTGATCCTACAGCCTCCCCAGGCCTCACCGCTACTTTCACGATCGTCGACTGCAGGCTGATCGGGCGTAAGTTTTGTGGGAACTGGCCCTGATGATTCTGTAACATAATTACGTCGGCACGTTTCCGTCAAGATCGAAAGTGCCGCAATCTTAGCATCGCGTTCAGAATAAAAGCGAGAACTCTTACTCTTTCTCGGGTTGCTATTTTTGATGGCGTCGTCTTGACGCAGGGATCTTCTGACTCTTCGGCTGACGGCATCGATAAAGTCCAGATCCGCGTTTTCGTCGGCCTTCTCGGCGTCCGTATACACCAGTCCTCTAACTCCGTGCAGCGGGAATGATCTCGGTGTGGACCGGGGCAGCGCAGAGCAATCCCCCTCGCTATAGGATCACAGGTGGTTTTCCCAGGACTCATCGTGGATGACGGTCTTGACCTCTTCTTGAAGTTTTCGGAATTTTGCTCGATCTAACGGATCCCACGAGCGCTGGAAGCGCGCTCTGAATCGGTTCTTCACCCGGATTAGGGCTCGTATCCGTCCCGGAAGGCAGTAATCGCCTCTGCGCTTCCGAAACAACTTCGTGGCGTCTCGTAGGGCAGCTAAAAGAATAAAATCATTGAAAGAGATAAAACATAAACAATATTTGACATCACGAACGATGGTGATTTAATTAAATTATCTCAAAAATATTACGAATAGGTCACTGTAATATGTAGATCTGCTATGTCAATATTTGAAGTTAAATTAATTTTTAGTAAAAGGGGTTGAAACAAATTTTTCTAGTCAGGATCATTGGAAAATTGAACGAACTTTGAGTGCCGGTTTGGAAAGAGCTGTGATAACCTGTGATAAACTGTAAGATTAGTATACCTGTCTAAATGTTGTTTTAGCTCCTGTTGGTCTATATTTTTGTAAACGTTTTGTATGATAAATACCAGTGATAGGTTAATGACCTTAGTAGTTGAAGCCGAGGTGGGACTTTTGTGAGTATTCCCAGCAAATGGGAAAGCCCCATTCTACTCTGGAACTTCCTTCTAGGGTGTGCATAAGGAGCATTTCCCAACTTAAACAAAGAAACACGAAGTGGGGGAAAATATTAATATCAAAAAAGGCTTCCGTCGAATCAACGGAGTTATAATCGTTAAGTGAATCTCAAGCAAATGTAATCATTACAAATCGATTGTATCGAAAATCATAAAATTTATCTTTGAACTTCGGATCACATCCTTCTGAGCTCAGAAGGGCGCGTTCTGTAAATATGTAACAGGCCAAAAAAACAACAAACAAATAATGCATAATATATTGCAAAGTAGCAATGCTAACGTCTGAACCGGGAGACTAATCGTATACTAAAACTAAAATTGATACTCGGCAATGCAGTATGCAGTACAATTAACAGAAGGTTACAATGACACCTGCCCAATGATCTATCTAGCAGATTCTGATATGCATGTTTAGACTACTTTCAAATTGGCGATTTTTAGCCGCCCTATAGCAATGGGTGCGCGTGACTCGATTATGATAATGTTGTCATACGCACTAATCTGTTCGCCCTTGCAACTGATCAATAGAGCAAAAAAAGGTGTTTTTTCGTCGGAATCCATTTCACTATTGATTCAGCAGCTCAACGTCGCCGCTAAGGATCGCCAATGTGTAAACCATCTAAGGCCAGGCGCGCACTTGCGATTTTCTGTCGCGCGACTTAAAAACCGCGGTCGCAAGTAGAATTCGAAGAAATTGTTGCTATAATCGCTCTTGTCCTTCCCTTCTCGAAATAAAAAGAAGAAGCGGTATTGGGTATTAGGTAAATAAAGCATGTTGCATCTGTTTACTCTCTGAGATTTTCTAACGTAAGTGCATATATCTTCGTTTAAAAATGAGTGTTTTATTTTTGCGACTAAAAGACAGAAAATCGCAAGTGCGCGCCTAGTCTGAGGGCGACACAAAAACCTTTAGTTACAGGAGTTTGCCACTGGGTATTATCCTACATGTTATTTCAGTGTTAAAACACAAATGTGGATTGTGTAGATTGCAAATGACAACACATTTTTTTAGTTAAAACTGATAACTTCATACGACAAAATGACAGCTTGGCAGTTATTTTTTGCGTTGGAATAGTGTGACACTTTGTTTCAAATTATTTTCCATCCATGACAACCATTGTCACAATAATCGTCATAGATTTTAGGAGCTAAGCTCAGATTAAATTTGTCGGTGCAAAGTTTACGATTCCTTGAATCACAAATGATGGCCAATTTTATTTTGATTTCGGTGTGGTACCGTTTCAAATTTCATGTAACAACGGTCCAAAAGTTATAGGGGTGTAGAGCTACTTAATTTCGCGATAAGCAGATATTTTGTCGCCGAAAAAGACACAGGTGTTCAGTTATTCAAAGACTTGCATTAATTTTGGAGTATTTGCTTGGAGTTGAGCTCAAAAATTAGAATTACTTGTAAGCAACTCTTAAATCGTTTTAATTAATTTGACATAAGTAAAGGTAAGCAGAGGATAGGCTTTGAAATCGACCTGGTCGCTCCAAACGTTTGTATCTATTTGGCCCTTTGAGGGTGGAGCTATGAATGAACACTTTTCAATAGCTCGCGCATAAAAATTAATTTGAAATAAGTAAAGGAAAACACAGACGGGACTAGATCTGAATATATAATCTAAGAGCTAGCGAACCATCCGACTAACCGGATGACGCTTTATTACCAGTCAATTACGAAAATACCGTTCTGGCAGGTATCTCGCGACACAATAAACGAATGAACATTGGTTTCAATCACAATTAGTCCTGCAATTATTGCCATTGCTGGATCCAAGTAGACCCGGTCACCCCATAATAAATTTTAGAGTTCTAGTGATTTAAAGGAGCTCTAAAATTTGTTGCTTAGGATATCAATAATAACTCATAAATTGGATAGGTACAATTCTCAAATTGATTTACAATATTGGGAGAGAGGGGAGTCCAGCGGGGCGTCGCAAGGCGGAATAAAAATTCCATCTCCAATGAAAGATTTGCTTTCTACTTCATTTGAAACTGTCATCATCAAAGACGTCTTGGTCCTCGTAATTGTAGGATAATAGTACCTACTACCTATGTCGGACAATACGGAAATCGACGAAACGGAAATTTGTGTCTGGAATAACATAATTAGCATAGTACAAAAGATAATTACAGTGTATCACTGAACAGTTCCTTTTGAAGAGGTTATTTTTTCCGAATTTTAGAATTTATTTGTAGAAAAACTTTCTGGCCTTTAGCTAAAGCAAACTTTTTGGTAATAACTAAGTACAATATCTAGCAGCTCGACTTAGCAAATACTTTTTTTTTAATTAAAGAGGAAAGTTTATATCTACAGCTTTAAAATAAAATGTATTCAAATGTAAGCTATAACTTCGTGCTGATGTACGTAATGGCCCTTTTTATTTAGTCACACAAATTATTTCGAAATAAAAAAATACAGGACGAAATAACGGTAGAATATAATTCGACCGGCTCAACGTATTAATCTGCTTCAATTAGCGCCGTATAAGAAAAGAGGAGTTGAAAAAACTCAAAAGTATTTCAAACAAATTTTAAGGGGCTTTGCAAGTTTACCAATTTATCAGGATGTAGTGTTGCCTGCGAAACTAAACTAGAGATTCATCAATTACGGGTCGAGTCAAAATTTCAGTATTCATTCACAGTTGCTGCACAGTTAATTTCATTGCAATTACCACAGAGGAAAATATGTTCGTCCCTTAATAATTCAATCCGTTTAATCGTATACAAATGAAGTTGCCACATAAATTCCAAAAGTTTTGTGCGCGGTACATAAATTACACAAAGCAAAGCTCGAATGAGAAGGTCAGTAATTGGCCACTTACGGACGCCTGCAAATTTGACAGTTAACGCGACTTTTTGGATATCACAATAACGATAAATAAGCATTTCAAAAATTCCATCCACTGCTTTATCTGCAACTTCTAATCCCGTGAATTATGCCAGGCATTTAAGCATAAAATATTTCTCCACCTTCAAAACGTTAGTAATATAGGCCGTGTTGCTTCTGAATAACAGCGCAATAATTCAAGAACGCGATTAGTTAGTATTCCTTATAAATAAAATGATATGAAAAGGAATGTTAAGCATTTCCATCACGAACTAATTAGTTTATTGATTGCTTTATTTTGAACTCAAAATGCACAATAAAAGGTATATGAGGAAATATGTGAGAAACTTTCCTCTAATATTATAACGCCAAGCTTTTCATGAGAAAATTCTGAATCGCGCATGCATGTGGTTAATAATGATTGAGTGACACTTGTATCACAGCATGTCATAATACATTATTCATTTATTCAGAAATCTATTTTAAATATTATAACTTTTAGAAAAATAACCGTCTGGTCCCTATACGGTCGGGGGATGGGCCACACCTCACCTCCTCAGCGAATTTAATTATCATACTAATTAGCCTTTTTGAATTGGCAACCAACACCTTATACTTTAAAGACAAACTAGGTGTAAAACAATATACGAAAACTCACCCCAGCGCCAATACTAACCCTGTAAAATATTTTCCACAAATCAAATCTGTGTATTTAAGCTCTTAATAAGCAAGGGTACGTTACATGAACTTAGTACAAATTGATGTGACAGAGTATAAAATGTGGGTTTAATAAAGAGTCGAATGCCTTTCCTCTGTACTTATTTACGTTCTTTCAGTAATAAGTGCAAGAGGGAAATGCGCCATTTTAAACTTTACTAAATCGCTAAAATTTCTCAGTTTTTAAATGACATGTTCCAAATTATTTGTAAATTACTAACTCCTATTTTTCACTTGCAGTTCCAAAAATCGAGATACTGGGGGAGTCCGACATATTCGTTAAATCGGACAGCAAGGTGACGCTAAAATGCGTCATAACCCAGTCGTTAGAGGAACCGGCTTACATATTTTGGTACCACGATGGCGAAAGGGTGCTAAATTACGATAGAAACGCCATCGATATCCGAATGGAGAGGATAGGTTCGGACACGACAGTAAGCACCCTCACCATCTATCACAGTGTACCCCAAGATTCGGGAAATTACACATGTAGTTCGTCCAATTTGGAATCGTCAAGTGTTTTGCTACATGTTTTGAATGGTAGGTTAAAACAATCATTGAGAAAAGTTAATTGTGTATGTTTTTAGGGGAGCACCCAGCGGCTATTCAGAGGGGCAAAAATTCGGCGTCCCATATTACGTGTTGGTCCCAATTACATATGGGTTTATTTGGATTTGCAGCCTGTACCACTCTTAGACTGGCCCTCGCCATTGCTCCAGTCACAACCACAAGCCAGTTATTAAGTGTATAAGCTACTTGCCTCTGACTTATTTGTGGTTGTGCTTTAGAATGAAATGCGCTTTTGTTTACATTCACTTAATGTTTAATTTTCACTGTGTTATTTACGAAAGAAAAACTTTGCTCATTTTTGAGAAACATTAGATAAATGGAATATTGTTATTATTTTCAAAATTTATGAGAGTATTTGTTAAATGTACCAAATGGTGATTTTTGTTGTATCCCTATTTAAACAACTATGTCTCGATAAGTTGTTATATATGTTGTTGAACTTGCTGCTTTGTCATTAGGAAAAACTATATAAGATCATTTGTAAGTAAGTTATCAGAGACATAACGATATACAGCAAAACTGTTTTTGACCTGTTAACATCAACATCAACTCTGTAGAATAATGTTTCTCTATAATACCATAATATAATAAATATTGCCAATATATTATATTAAAAGTTAAAACTAAATATAAACATGAAAATTTTGGGTGCAATTTTATAGATCGGCAATCGCGGGGCGACGAGAAAAAGAAATTTCTTTTTATATTCGATCGACGTTTCTTTTAGTCGGCCATATTTTATGAGCTTCTCTGTTTATTTCTTTTAGAAATTCATTTCTATATTTGTTTTGTTTTGTACCTATATGATGAGATTCAATTCCCTCATGTATTTAGAATTATTCCGTCCCTTCAATCCCGGTGGGTCATATATGTATATATAGTTCCTTTCTTCACCTTTTTCTCTATATTTTTAGGCGTAGGTATTCAATTGTTCCGTATTGATTATAGTTTGCAAACTTTACCGTAATAAAATATTGAATAATATGTAAATGCTTTAAAATGTAATTATGGTTTACAATGTAAAGTAAATTATGAGTTTCTTGTAACAAAGGTGGATTTATACGGAACGCGAAAAGTGTTCAAATCAGGAATGTTTCTGATGCAGTTATCCAGTGCCAAAAGAAATTAAATTTAGCCTTTCACGGAACTCAGACATTTGTATTTGGTCATGCCTGTCAAATTACGTATTACTTTACAGTATGCATGCTTGCCATAAAAAACTTATAAGCCTTATGGCTTGATCACCTCATGTTGTCATTTATATTTTATAATATGTTCCGGGACATTTTTGCAATAATTCTTCTATTGGTTTTCCAGGGTCCAGGTAGCACACTGTCATTATGGAATCTTCAGATAGCTTTTCAGTCAATATCTGCGTTTGCCTTCCTATACTGGTTGCAAGGGAAGTTTGATTGAAATAAAATAGTGGGGTCAATGTCCTTTCATGTCATATTGTATTAGTTTCATTGAGTACAAATTACAAACCGAAGCTCTGATTAGAGTTTCGTACTGTTCGCAGAAGTTTCAAATGCTAGGCGTATTCCAAAAATCACTTTTTGGTACCGCCTTGATTCATGAGAGATCTTAGTATATATTATAATATATACCGGGTGGTGCATGGTAAGTAGGAACACAGGGATTTAACATAAGAAATTCGTTTTATGCAATATCCTGCAATCCTGCACATTTTACAGAAAAAACTGTCGAGTTCAGAATTAAAAGTTGCATACAAAACTGTTTTTACGTGTGTTCTATTAAGCTTTTGGTAGACCCGCAAATTTAAAAATAAATTTCAACATTTCTGTTATTAGTCGCAATTCATAAAACAACAAAAGTCATGGCTATTGCTATACTAATAACAGAAATGTTGAAATTTATTTTTAAATTTGCGGGTATACCAAAACGTTAATAAAACATGTAATAGTATATTAAGATACAAGTGTATAATCAAGTCTTTAAAGCACGCGCAACGAGTTTAAGGGCACGACGCAAAGCGGAGTGCCTTTAACGTTGCAAGTGCTTTAAAGACCAATTATACACGTGTATCTTATAGTATTTTTTATTATACCTGCAGTATAATTTAAAAATAGGAAATACAATGAAGTCATATTGACGTTATACTCGAATACATGTCTAATTAAGTGGGCTGGGTGTTCGTAATTTCACGATTGCCATGGAAATGTCACTTGACGTTTGCTTATAAAAATCATCGTCTTTGTGAATTAAAAGATTTCCGTTGAAAAACATAATACACCGTCCATTAAATCGATTGTTGTAAAGTCTAAACAAACGTTGGTAGGTGTAAAATTCAACTCCAGCAAAGCCTATTATAAAGAATATGATAAGTTGTTTCCATGGATGAATAGGAAGTTACTTACGAATACAGTCTTAAATGCATCCATAATGCTGGCATATATGAAAGAAATGTCAAAGGTATTTAAATCTTCTATATTTTGGTGCATTCATTCAAAACTTTAAAGCAATGCTGCGATTAAAAAGTGGAACAGATTTGGAAGCATACCCTAAATTACGCGCGTTTGTGAAAGCTTCAACCAAAGGATAGGTACAAAAGCCAAATAAATGTTCTGCATTTACAGAAAGCGAGCTAAGAGGATTTTTTTATTTCATTCAGATGACAGTTTCAAAAGTCATACTTGAAGTATCGTTACTTAGCAACTTTAAAGCACGTGTGTTTTAAAGGCCCTTCTTCGCACGCGTTTGAGTGTTTAAAACGGAGATTGTGATTCAGGTATAATAAAAAATAATTTTGTATGCACCTGTTAATTCTGAACAACTTTAAACTCTACAGTTTTTTCTGTAAAATGTACAGGAGGGCAGGATATTGCATAAAACTAATTTCCCATGTTAAATCCCTATGTTCCTAGTTACCGTGCACCACCCGGAATGTTGACTGAAAATTAAGTACCAGATGGAGTCAAGGAATTGCTTGGTCCGTTATACTAATCGAGATTTAAGCTATTTAGAGTTAAATATCCTGCGCTAATTGTCATACAATCCAAGAGGTTTAGGTCTGTACCTAAGAAAGTAAAGACACACCCAGACATTTCAAGTAAAATATTAAATACTTAGGCATTATCCTATTAACTAAAATAATTTTTTGTCGCATACTAAGATCTCTTTAAAACCCTTAACATACCAAATTCAATGACAAAATCGAAAATTAACCCTACCGGTTTACCTTCGTTTTGGTCGTTTGATTATTTCATAAAATTGTCGAGCATACATGTTAATTGGGGGAGGATTAAACATCTGAGGATTTATTAACATTAAACACCGTACCATTTTGATAGTTTGACATTTTGATAAATTTTCACTTTTAAGCGTGAAGATAACCGTTACAATTCTGGGTGAGTTACGGTGCTAACTATTTTTTTAATTTTCTTTGCGCATCTTTTTTATTATTTTTCTTAGGTGAAAGGGCCATACATGAGATATTTTGAACAACCTTCTAGATGTAGCATTTATTTTAAACAATGTTTTGCAGTAACAATATGTAGAGATATGACCAAATTTTTATTTATTCAATTTAAGGCAGATATCCACCAGAAAAGTATATGGTAACACAGAATCTGCGAAACCTGGTGTAATAAACTGTTTCAAACCAATGTGGACAACGAGGGACAAACACGTACGGACAGACAGAAAGTCTAAATGACCAAAATTTAATCACTTAGTCCCTATTACTGAAAATAGAATTGGAAAATTCGAAACCGTAAGCGAGTTACCATGTACACAGCCGGACGAACGTACAAAATTCATGATTAATAATTAATGACCTATCTGAAGTGAAATTTTGATTATTCCTCTCAAAATATATTAAATTCTATAATCCATTTTTTAACTACGAAAAATAGCGCTTCTCTCCCTTGTGCTACCTACAAACGATGGCTAAGGTTAATCCAATGATTATAAATATTAGAATGTGAAATATCTTGCCTTATAATCATATGTGACCATTCGAAAGACATAAGAGGAATTCCCTTGTTGTGGATGTAAAGGGGCGGAAGGGGAAAGAACGCTGTTATTCCTCGGAAGCAAACGTAAAATGACAGGAAGCACGTTTTTGTGGTTCGAATGTATCATTTAGTGACCAGGGGTGCTCCATCTTTAGTTAATCAGGTGCCGTTGTTTGTCTCCTTTTTAAATTTAGTGTGTTACATACCAAGTGAATATTGATTTGTTAAATTAATGTCATTATACAGGATGCATTAGGCAATTAATGTCATTATACAGGATGCATTAGGCAAACGCCAGGGAAGCGATAGGGTTTTGTCATTATTATAATTAGTTACATCCACCGATTGAAGTTTTATAATTATGCTCACCACATTTATATTTAATTACTCATAGCGTAGGATTAAATTGTATTTTATTCTGTACATAAGTTGGTTTACCGTTCCCCATTTACAGTTATAGCTTTCAACCTGGAATATTTGCCTTTAATCATGTACTGTGCACCGTATAGAATAATTGAATTTGTTTCAAATATGACAATGTTTGTTACCATTCCTTTACAGGGCCATCCTCATCTAGGGACGAGTTGTCTGAGGGTCAAGATGTTGAATAATTGCACTTGGCATTGAATTATTTAATTTATACTAATGTTTTACCAGGACATGTCGCTTTGTTTCGCTGAAATGTTAATTAACCTTATACTATGTTAATATTTAGCAGGGTGACTTGTTTCGAATATGTTACATATTTGAATTCATCAATCTCGCCTTTATCTTAGATATACAAGCCATAGCCCGCCTGGCATACGCCAGAGATATATTTTTATGTGTCTTAGAAAAGGACCCTCTTCCTGATATTGCTAATCGACTCTTCTAGTTGACCCTTATTGACATGTAGCGACTGAATTGGTTTTATCGATCTTTTATGCTATGTGCTATGTTGATGGTTGCTCTGTTAATATTGTTGTTATTATTTTATGTTACCTATGTCATTACTTGTCTTTTTATCGAGTTATCATGTTAATGTTTATCTCTAAGCTCTGCCTCCAGTTACCCAGGGATCTGCTAAAAGTGTACACTGTTCTAGTAATGCCTTTTTTATGTACTCATCTGAGGACGAGGTGTGCGAATATAACTGCACTTGGCATTGAATTATTTAATTTATACTTATACTAATTTATACATGTTTTTTTGTTTTGTTGAAATGTTAATTAAGGTTATGCTATATTAGCAGGGTGACTTGTTTCCTATTTCGGCTACCATCAGAACGAATGTACTGGTCATGCGATGAAGATCCAGGTGCCAAAATCGTGGAGGATGGGATGTCCAAGAACCGTTATCTGAAAATAAAATCTATACTGCACTTTGTGAATAGTGGTGAACTTGATAAAAACGATACATGTTTCAAAGTTCGTCAATAGAAAAGGTTAACACGGTATTTCTACAGTTTGGTGTGTTTTCGTCGCATTTATCCGTTGATGAAATGATAGTGGACACCATGGACTGAAACAGTTTATAAATTATGGACTTTATGCGGAGGCAGTGGATATTGCTACCTATAAATTTATGGAATAGGAGATTTGACGTTGGATTCTAACGTGATCACGGAATTATTATCGTGGCAAATCCAAAGAATCACGTGGTTTTCTTCGAGAACTTTTTCGCCAATCGTGGTTTACTTATGCATCTAGGAAAATTAGGATTCCGAGTCACAGGAACTGTCCGAAAGCCCACTGGAAAGTGTCCAAGAGATGTCCAAAGAACAACGAGGAACCTATAATTC